CCCTGTCCTGATTGTCAGCTCTGAGAGTTGTTATTTGGAAGGTTTCGAGGCTGTGGAGTCTGCTCACATTTTATGCAGCGATCTCAAAGCACCTTTGCCGTGACGTGGATGGCCTTATTTATTTTGCCCAATTTTATTTTATATTTTGAACATTTAAAATCTGAGGAGAGGCTCTCAATAATTCTAGACGGACAGATTTGAGTAACTTCTTCCTGAGTCAGACTTGCTCCTGGGGGCTGCGCTGGGTGGTTGGATGCGGTGCTCAGCAATGTCTCTCCCCTGAGATGTGTTCCTGAGTGTTTTTTTTTTTTAAAGAATTTGTAGATAAGTCGAAACAGGTACGTACAGTTCTTATTTAGCCTTACAGCTGTACTTTAGTGCAAAAAAAGGCTCGACGCCTTTTCAGTAATTTAAAAGCCACACGTCCAACAAGTGAAGGTGGTTGTGATGAAGAAATTTGTTGCGAGTAGGGGTTGGTTCAGTTGTTTCGAAGTGAGGGCAAGTTTACATAACATTAAAGGACAAGTACGAGTTTCTCCATAAATCAGATGTTTGTAACTTGGGGACTGCCTGTATTTGATTAACTTTACTCTTGTATGTTTTTATTTGCTTATGCACATATATAATTTCACATAACTAGGACTCTACCATGTGTATGATTTTGTCATAGACACTTTCCCTTTCCTTGTCTCATCTCACTTCCATTCCTCAGAGATTGCTCTTCTTGGTGGTAAATTGGTGCAAACAGAAACTATAAATCTGGAGCTCAGAGGGGCTGTCTGAGGACAGAGGAGTCTGAGCCAGGGGGTAGTTGGGAGTCACTGGCTCTGGACTAGAAATTGGGAGATTTAGGTTTAGTTTTTGCTTTTGCTACTACTGGGTGACCTTGGACATGTAATTTAAACTTCTCTTGAATTGAAATTTTTATTGAGCTAATTGTAGATTCACATAGAGTCATAAGATATAATACAGAGAGATCCCATATACCGTTTTCCCAGTTTCCTCCGATGGTAACATCTTGTAAAATGTAGTACAATATCACAACAAGCATATTGACTTTGATGCTATCTATTGATCTTATTCAAATTTTCCCAATTTTACTTGCACCGATTTGTGTGTGTTTATTTCTGTACAGTTTTTCACATGTGTAAGTTTGTGTGTTCACTGCCACAGTCAAGATCCACAAGGATCTCTCTTGTTGCCCTTTTATAACCACACCCACCTTCCTCCTGTGCCCCACCTCCTCCTCATTCCTAACCCCTGGCAATCACTAATCTGTTCTAAAATTTTATCATTCAAGAAAAAAATGTTATACAACTGAAATCATATAGTATGTAACCTTTTGGGATTGACTTTTTTTTACTCGGTATAATTCCCTGGAGATTCATCCAGGTTGTTGTGTGTATCGGTAGTTTGCTCCTTTTTGTTGCTCAGTGGTATTCCATGGCTGTACCACAATTTATTTAACCATTTATCTATTGAATGACATTTGGACTGTTTCCAGTTTTTGGATATTATGAGTAAAACTGTGATGGGCATTTGTATACTGATTTTTATGTTAACATAAGTTTTCATTTCTCTGGGGTAAATTCCCTTGAATACAAACGCTAGGTCATGTGGTAATTGCATGTATAGTTTTATAAGAAACTGCAAAACTGGTTTCCACGGGGGCTGTATCATTTTACATTCTCACCAGCAGTGTATGAGTGATCCATTTTCTCCTCATACTCACCAGCATTTGATGTTGTCATTATTTTTTATTTTAGCTACTCTTATAGGCATGTAGTGATATCTCATTGTGGTTTTAATTTGCATTTCCCTGATAGCTAATGACATTTTATATATTTTCATGTGCTTATTTGCCATCTTATGTCCTTTTCATTGAAATGTTTGTTCATATCTTTTGTTCATTTCCTAACTGGATTTTTTTTATCATTGTTGAGTTTTGAGAGTTGTATGTATATTCTAGATACTAATCTTTACTATTGACTTTTGAGAGTTGCATATATATGTGGTTTGCAAATGTTTTCTCGCAGCTTGTAGCTTGTCTTTTCATCCTCTTCACATGAGCTTTAAAAAAATAAAAATCACTTTATTGATATATAGTTCACATACCATGCAATTTACCTACTTAAAGTGTACAATTCAGTGATTTTTAATATATTCACAGGATTGTGCAACCGTCACCACAATCAAGTTTCAAACATTTTCATCACCTCCAAAAGAAACTCCATACTTCACATGGGCTTTCACAGAGCAAAAGTTTTTATTTTTGATGTGGTCTGATTTATCCATTTTTCCTTTTATGGATCAACTAAGTCTGAGAACTCTTTGCCTAGTTCTAGATGCTAAGTATTTCTCCTATTTTTTTTTTTCCAAAAATTTCACAGCTTTATATAGTTACGTTGAAATCTATTTTAAGTGAGTTTTGTATAAGAAGTCAGGTTTAGGTCAAGGGTTAATCTCTCCCCTCCCCCATGAATGTCCAATTGCTCCAGTGTCTTCTGTTGAAAAGACTCTCCTTCTACTATGGAATCTCTTTTGCACCTTTGTGAAAAAAGTCAGTGAGGCCTCTTTGTGTGGGTCTATTTCTTGGTTCTCTACTCTGTTCCATTGATCTATGTATCTATTTCTCCTGATTTAAACTTTTAATACTGCAATTCACTTTTCTGGAAAATGGAATTAGTAACGCCTGCTCTCCTACCTCTGGGTTGTTAGGAGAAGCAAATACGATTGTGTATCGGGATGTGCCCTGAGCTTCGAAGCAGTATGTTAATGTAATGTATTGATATTAGGAAGAACTAGAAAATTTCACTCTTTTCCCCTTTAAATTGGTTCAGCTTGTCTGGTTGGCATTTATTCAGTTTTCATATTCATTTGTTAGAAACCATGATGAGCTACCACTCAGTTATGGACATGCAAAGGATCTACTTATGGAGACTCTGCAGCAAAATTAGAATCCTTGCCCAGCTTCCATCTGCTACCCTTTTGTGGGCTCTCTGGATTCCTCCTACCATCCCAGCCTGTGTAGGTTCAGAAATATAAGCTGACTTTAATAAGCAAAGAATAATATCATTTATAAAGGAGAAGCTGATATCCCTAGATCACCTGGCGAATGAAGACAGTGCAGGATTAGGCAGTTTGGAATTATCCAGGCCATTCTGCATTCTCCACATCTCCACATCTTTGTTCATCCTCTTCACCTCATCTGCTCTCCTCTGCCTAAATTCTACCCACCCTGAAAGACCTACTTGCCACCTTGAGAAGTAAGCCAGTTTCACCCACCTGCCTGTCTACCTAGGCAGCCAACCCCTCAATGTCAGTAAAATACATTTTTATTCATCTGTGTAATCTCATGGCCTGGCATAGTGTCCGGAAAATAGCAGATATTCATTGAATCTGGCTTTCCTTGATCTCTTTTCCCTCTAAACTTAGTGACATTTATTATTTATTATTTGTGTGATTCTCTGTTGGTTAATTACAGTTTTTTTTTTGTTTTTGTTTTTTTTGCCTTCTGCAATAACTGAAAGAACATCTTGAGGGCAAGAACTGTATCCAGAGAGCCTAGCATGCGCTGGAAAGTTCTTCGTACCTGGAGAATATCGTATGTCTAATTAAACATCACAGTTTAAGTATATTGAGAGGCCCTGGCTGGTGAAGCAGTTAAGCGCTTGACTACTAGCCGAAAAGTTGGTGGTTCAAAACCACTCGGAGGTGCCTCAGAAGATAAGTCCTGGAGATCTGCTTCTGAAGGGTCACAGCGTTGAAAACCCTATGGAGCAGTTCTCCTCTGCGCACATGGGGTCATATGGTTTCGCCATGAGTCGGAATCGACTTGACAGCAACTAACAACATCAACTAGTACATTGAATTCACTACCCTGTTTTACAGAAAAGAAAATTCCAGAGCCTCTATCTCTAAAGCTGGGGGCCCCACAGCTATATCTTAGTTTTAAATAGACCTTTCAAGTTTCATGGAGGTGCTCTCTAGTTCTGGTATTCCGGGATTTTGAGAATAATTCTGTGCATCGTCTTTCCAATTTTCTTCATGATTCCGTAGACTTTGACCTGTTAGGTTTTGCCCTCCAAATCCTAATATTTGAATTGTTTTCATACTGAAGCCTATTTAGTGACGTTGATAGTTTTCTAGTCCTCTCTAAATCTTCCCCAGCTTTTTTTATACTTTCTGGAAGTGGGATGCCCTGAACTGCATGCAGCTTTCCCAGCTTACATCTACCGTCTTTCTATGCATGTTTATACTGCGGGGGACAAGTTACCATTGAATCAGTTCTATGCATGGCAACTCCTTGTGTGTCAGAGTAGAACTGTGCTCCATACAGTTTTCATTGACTAATTTTGAGGGGAGTAGATTGCCAGGCCTTTCTTTCTAGGCACCGCTGGGTAGACTTGAACCTCCAGCCTTTTGGTTAGCGGTCAAATGTGTTAACCTTTTGCACTGACAGGTGGGGTATATATGAATATGCATGACTTTAGGGCATCAATATCATGCATCTTCCCCTGACGGAATGGGCTATGTGTCTTTGGGGATGATTTTAACCAGCCATCTTGAGCGTCCGTTGCCACATTTGTAAAATAGAATGATATGTACCTTAAATGTTTATGAGGATAACCAAATGTACATTTAAAAGCCTAGTACACTGCTTTGCACATTGTAGGCACTGAATAATTTAAAGGAGGAGAAGAAGGAGAAAATTCCCATTTTTGATTATACTACCTTTTTCATAGTAAAGGACAAAATTTAGTGAAAAAGACAATAATTATTTCAAAGAACTGTTTTGAACCTCTCTGTAAGTCTCACATTTCATTTATCTTGGTTGTATTCATTTAAAATGATCTCTTTAAAATGATGAATTTATGAACAGTGCATTCATACATTACTAAACATAAATTACACTTACAGATTTCCATCTTTACAAACATTAGTGGAAACTATGTGAGAGATATATAGATGTATCCCACTATCTTCTGTTTAATTTTTAGACAGTTCTGGCACTTTCCAGAAGCAAGAGCTACGGAGGGAGAAGTGGGAGAGGAACCGCATGCCAAGCAGAACCCTCTCTCGGCGTTCCATCAGCAAAGAGAGATGGGTGGAGACTCTGGTGGTGGCTGACACGAAGATGATTGAGTATCATGGGAGTGATGTGGAGTCCTATATCCTCACCATCATGAATATGGTATGCCAGACTGCATGGGGTGAGCAGTGGGAAACAGATGTCATTAGAGATGCCCTTCCCCTAAAAGAAACTCCAAAACATGAGATCTTTTGTTCCTTTTTGGCTTCTTTTTATTTATATATATGAATTTATTCCTTGCCTGAGAAACTCAAGACAAATTAGTCTTTCCCTTCACAAAATGTTTATGCTGGGATAATTTGTAATTTACATTTTCATATTTCTGCTAAGTATTTAAGGAGCACTGGGGACCCAATGGTTAAGCACTTGGCTGCTAACGGAAGGGTTGCTGGTTCAAACCCAGTAGCTCCTGGGGAGAAAAGCCCTGGCGATCTGCTTCCATAGAATTACAGCCTAGGAAACCAGATGAGGGCAGTTCTACTCCATCATATAGGGTCGCTATGAGTTGGAATTGACTCAATGGCGTACAACAGCAACTCTAGGTATTTACCAAGTGACTCTATCCTTCGAGTATAACTTTGTCTCACCTGTTTTAGGCTATGCACAAATAGGTAAACTGAGGCAAAGAACTAGAACATGATTCCCTTAAGGTGGTTAAAGTTAGAATGCAAATAAAGTTCATTAACTCTGGTTTCAAGCTTCCCCATAGCATTATTGGTGTTCTCTGCCTTCCCAGAGAGGGTGTTAATCCTATTGAGATGGGGAAGAATATTTGCCTGAGAGTCCCTGAATTCTTCATTAGCCTTTCTGGCCATTCCCGAAATGGTCCCCAAAGAAGGTACAAGATAAAGCATCAATTTTATATCATCAGAGCTCCTCTTTAAAACACTATCTGCATTCTTTTTCTAATGTATTAAGCTGTGGAAACCACAGAAATTCTTCTCCTTTCTCTATAGCCTAGAGCAGTGCTTCCCAAATTTTAAAAGATACTGATGTCTTGGGTGCCATCCCTTGAGACTTTGATTTAATTGGTTGGACTGTGGCCTAGTCATCTGGCTTTTTAAAAGTCCCTAGGGGATTCTGATGGGTAGTCAAGGTTGAGAAGCACCTACCAAGTGTTGCCTAGACTGAGAAGACTTGCCATGTTCCCAAGCCTGGCTGAATATCAGGGTGAAGCAGGGAGTCTTGCCTTTACATATATTGTAGGCTCTATCCCAGGCCTGATCAGACCCTTGGGACTGCAGCCCAGGAATCTCTGTACTTTAAAAAGCTTCTCAGATAATCTGATGTAACTTGGCTTTGGTTACACAGAGGACTGAATTCCTCCCTTTTTCTGGGATTTACCCTGTTTATAACGCCAAGGCAAGAGTGATAGGGTGGAGAGGTGGAGTGCCTCCTTCAAAGCAAGACACCAAAAAAAAAAAAAAAACAAAGCAAGACACCAAAAAAAAAAAAAAAAAAGTTGCCATTGAGTGATTCCAACTTATAGTGACCACATAGGACAGAGTAAAACTGCCTTACAGGATTTCTAAGGCTATAATCTTTATGGAAACACACTGCCACATCTGTCTCCAGCTGAGCAGCTGGTGGGTTTGGACCACCGACTCTTCAGTTAGCAGCCAAGCACTTAACCACTGCACCACTGGGGCTCCTCTCGAGCGGGATGACTTTTACTTACTGCACCAGTCACAGGCAAGAGTAGAGACTCCAAAGAAGGTTCATTTCCAAAAAGAAAAGTCCAGAAGACTTGCTGTTCAGCTGATCCTTTAATTGGGGCCTGAAAACAGTAGCATCAGTAGGGGGTGCAAACTGAACCCCCTGACACTGTCAGAGGGGGTGACATCAAAAAGACCCCAGGGTCCGTGGCAGCTGCAGCAGGGGAGGGGCCGTCAAGGCAGTGGTGTCGCTAGGGTTGATGTCACCTGTCAGCCAGTGCAGTAACTTGCCATCTCCCACTCTCTGTCATCCACCAGTTGGGGTGCAGGCAGCTGGGCCACGGCACCCACCATTGGGCGGTGAGGAGGGTCTCCACTTTGCCCAGTGGGAGAGAGGAGGAGCTGTGGAGAGCCCTGGGGGGCGGGGCCATGTCACACCATGAGTTACCACATTGGGTGACACCATTCCTAGTGATGCCACTGCCTGGAAGGTACTTCCTGTTAACATTCCAACCAAGCCCCTCAGCCTGACAGATGGAAGCTTCACACCCTCTGTTGGCCAACAGGAGAAACCACAGTAACGCCTGATTTATTTTTTAGTTCTCCTTCAGCTGCTGTAAAGATTACAACCAAGAAAACCCTATGGAGCAGTTCTATGCTATAACGTAGGGGGTCGCCATGAGTCAGAATTGACTTGACAGCGATAGGTTTGGCTTTTGGTTTTCTCTATATAAGAATCCCTGGGTGGTGCAGAAACATTAATGTGCTAGGCTGCTAACCGAATGGTTGGAGGTTGGAGTCCAGCCAGAGGTGCCTTGGAAGAAAAGCCTGGTGATCTACTTACAAAAAAACAGCCGTTGAAAACTCTATGGAGTACAGTTTAACTCTGACACACATGAGGTCACCATAAGTCAGAATCCAATCAACAGCAAGTGGTTTTGTTTTGTTGATGTTGTTCTCCACATAAACAGAGGGAGGGGAGGTTTAATCAAGCAGATTGAATACTAAAAATAAGGACAATTTAAGTTTAAAGAGTGTGACTACTCCATTCCTTGGTGCTTCAAACTATTTATAATGAAAATGAAAAGGTAAAGACATCAGAGAAAAAAATGTTGCAAGGCATTTCAAATGCCTGGCTGTCAGTGAAATAGACTTGCCCCATGAGTTCAGGGAGGCCAGCAGAGTCACGGATCTCCAGCTCTGTCTAAGGAGCAAAGAGCTTTGAGTACAACATTATTTGGGGGGAGGTATAAACAAGCTCTTAATTTCTCTAAAGAACCAGAAAATGAACTCCTGATTTGATGGTCATCCTCATGCAAATTACCAGGTATTGTGTAAGGAGACTGTCTCCCTAGTGCTGGAGTTTACCCACTAATCAAATATCAGCTTAGGTTGACTTCTTTCCTTTCTTTTCCTTCCTTCCTTCTGGCTGAGAAGAGCTAGTTTCAGTTTCCTCAAGGCTGACATTATTTAATTTTACAGATGCCTCATTATTTTGTATTAGGAAAAAATTATGGTTGCAGATAAATTGGCTGCTGGCAAATGACACTGATCATGAAGAGAACGAAAATCATTTAGGATATTTTGTTAAAGATCATTTAACCCATCTACTAAGGTTCTCCTGTTCAACTAACTGATAATAAAAGAGAGGTAAAAAGAAGAAAGGCACCAATCCCTCAAGAACATAGCCAATTTATTACCCTGGAAAGGTTTTTCTTTAGAAGAGCAACTTAATCCCAAATCAGCTATTGTCGTTGTTCTTAGATGCCATCGAGTTGATTTTCGAATCATAGTGACCCCATGTGACAGAGTAGAACTGCCTCATAGGGTTTTCTAGGCTGTAATCTTCACAAGAGCAGACTGCCAGGCCTTTCTCCGACAGAGCCACTGGTGGGTTTGAACCACCAACCTTTTCATTAGCAGCAGAGTACTTAACTGTTGTGCCAGTTGTCGTAATACGGATCAGGCCATGGGCAGACTATTCTTCTTCGCACTCCACCAAAAACTCCTGACCTATAAACTAACCTTTATTTGAAGTGAGTTACATTGCTGATTTTTTCTCCTCTGGCATAGGTCCATGGGTGGTACAAATGGTTTGCCTCAACTACTAACCTAAAGATTGGCAGTTCAAACCCATCCAGTAGCTCTGCAGGAGAAAGGCCTGGTGGTCTGCTTCCATAAGGATTACAGCCAAAAAAACCCTTTGGAGCAGTTCTATTCTGTTACACATGGGGTCACCATGAGTCAGAATTGACTCAAGGGCATCTGACAGAGACCGGAGGACCCCTGGGACTATGGCCCTAAGACACCTTCTGACCTGGAACTGAAGCCGTTCCCGGAGACCACGTTTCAGCCAAACAAAAGATAGGCCTATAAAATAAACAATAATACCTGAGAGGAATGTGTTCCTTAGCAATCAATTATATGAGATCAACAGGACGACATTTGCCCAAAAGCAAAGATAAGAAGGCAGGAAGGGGTAGAAAATTTGGATGAAAGGAAATGGGGAACCCAGGGCAGAAATGGGAAGAGTGTGGACACATTGTGGAGAATGCAACCAATGTCATGGAACACTTTATGTACAAATTATTGATTGGGAAACTGATTTGCTCTGTAAACATTCACCTAAAGCACAATGAAAAATTTTAAAAAACAACAACAAAAAAGAATTGACTCAAGGGCAACTGGTTTTTGTTTTTTTGGGGTTTTTTTGGGGGGGCGGGGTTTGACATCCTTATCTATTCATTTGGAGCTAATGGGTTTTCTTTTCTAGGTCACTGGATTATTCCATAACCCGAGCATTGGCAATGCAATTCACATTGTTGTGGTTCGGCTCATTCTACTTGAAGAAGAAGAGGTAAGGAACAGTTTCCCTTTCATTCTTCTGCCCTGTATCCTTCCACTCCCTCCCCCGCTTTTTTCAGCAGAGTTCTTGATGGACAAGAAAAGGGTACCAGAAGGGTGTTTGGAGGCCCATCAAGAAGGAAAATAACATTTACTTCTTGGAGGTTCTGTGATGTAGAGTGGGAGAAAGAGAATGTTTCTAGGATGTGCATAGGTGGAATCACCTGGCCAGTAACACACAAATCAGACTTATAACAATCAGTAAGAATGCTCCATAGTAGAAACAGACTAAGTGCCTTAGTTATTTAGTGCTGCTATAACAGAAATAGTGCAAGTAAATGACTTTAACAAACAGAAAATTATTCGCTCACAGTTTAGGAGGCTAAAAGTTCAAATTCAGGGTGCTAGCTCTAGGGGAAGCCTTTCTGCCTCTGTCGGCTCTCAGGGAAGGTCCTTGTCATCAATATTCCCCTGGATCAAGGAGTTTCTCAGCTCAGGAATCCCGGGTTCAAAGGACATGCTCCATTCCTGGCTCTTCTTTCTTGGTGGTAGGAGGTCCTTCTCTCTGTTGCTTCTCTCTCCTTTTATCTCTTGTAAGGTAGAAGGTGATGCAGGCCACACCCCAGGGAAACTTCCTTTACATTGGATCAGGGATGTGACCTGAACAAGGAAATTATATCCCACCCTAATCCTCTTTAACATAATTTAATCTTGCCACATCAACCGCAGGCAGAGATTAGGATTTATAACACATAGGAAAATTACATCAAATCACAAAATGGAGGGCAACCACACAGTACTGGGAATCATAGCCTAGCCAAGTTGACAGTATTTTTGGGAGACACAGTTCAATCCATGACACTAAGTCATGATATGGTTGTGAGGCTTCAGTATGGGGAGGGAGATGGAAATCTTGAGCCTTTTATTTTCTTATTTACCTCTTGCACACTAACACAAGTCTCTAAGATCTGGACTCTCTTATCTTTCTGTACTCTTGCCCTTGGTGATTTCATCTACTCTTAGAGATTTACATATCATCTACATGCTGAGATTCTCAATGGATACGACAAGCCCAGACCTCTTACCTGAGCTTCAAACTCATATCCAACTGCTTACTTTATATCCCAACCTGGATGTATCATGGTCCACTTAAACTTGGAAACTTAACATGGAGTTCTTGATTACTCCCTGCCCAAATCATCTCACTTCTCTTCCCCTCTCCAATCCCCAACCCACCAATCTTACCCATCGTGGTAAATAGAGCTACTGTGCTCCAGTTGCATAAATCTAGGAGTCACCCTTGATTCCTCTTTCTTTTACCTTCCGATCCCAACAGCAAGGCCCACAGTGGTCCTACCTGCAAAATACATTTCAAAACCAACCACTGTGCACTACCATGTTGGTTCAGGCCTTATCTTGTCTGGGCTACCATAGTGAACCCCCAACTGATCTTCCTGTTTCCAGCCTTACTCCCTATAGATCCATTCTCCATGTAGAATGGTATTTTTGAATACAAATTCAGTTACTTCACAGCACAAAACCACTTGATGGATTTCCATTGCTTTTAGAACAAAATAAAAATTTCTTACAACTTGAGATACTTTCATTATCTTCCTTCCATCCACCTTTCCAGTCTTTTCTTATGTCATTGTCTCCCTTGCTTACTACCTTTGTGCTCAGTGGACGTAAGGCACTTTCAGGTTCGTGCCTGTGCATTTGTCATTCCCAGTGTCCAAAACACCCCTCCCCTGACTCTGGTCAAGGCTGCCACCTTTTCATCCTCCAGGTCTCTATTTAAATGCTCCCTCTTCAAAGATGTCAATGATTAGCCTATTCAAAGCTAGTCCAACTTATTATTCTCCATCACAAAATGCAGTTTACTTTCCTTATTGATAGCATGAAAACCAAACCCGTTGCCATCAAGTTGATTCTGACTCATATCGACCCTATAGGACACAGTAGAACTACTCCATAGGGTTTCCAAGGAGCAGCTGGTGGATTTGAACTGCTGACCTTTTGGTTAGCAGCTGAGCTCTTAACCACTGTGCCACCAGGGCTCCAACACACTCATAGTTTATCATTATTATGTATATTTGTTTACTCTTTTCTTGCTCATCTCTTCCACTACTAATATGTGACTTCCAGGAGAGCAGGAACCATGTTTCTTTATTCTCCATTGTATCCCCAGCACCTAACACAGTGTCTGTGACATGAATTAATGAAGTGAAATTTAATGAATGAACAAACCAGCCAACCCGATGAAACAGCCTTGCAATCTATTGAGCTTAACCAGCAGCTGAACTATACCAAGAAAGGCATCATTCAGATCACAATCAGTAAGAAACCCACAGGCAAAACATCCAAGGCAGGGTTTGTTTGTTTCCTTGGCAGTCTAAGTCTCTGCAGTCAGTTAGAAGATAAAAACATAATCTCTGGAGCCTGAATCCACTTTCCTTCTCCTCTCCCCTATCACCTCCCTTGCCCTGGTCACCCAAGACATATTTTAGGTAGCCTGGAACCCCAACAGGTATACGCAACTTTTAAGAAAATTTATCCAAAACCTAGAAACCAGGCAAAACAAAGACAAACTGTGTACTTTGAAATATCTAACATGACTTATCTGACTCTATGGGACTCTAACTTTATTATTTACTACTGATTAGGGAACAGACATGGAGTTAGATGTTAATACGTAGTAAAGTGATTAGGTACACATGATTTGTGTCCACCAGAGAAGATAATCCTGAAGATTATGGTTTTATTTGCTTATGGAACATTAATTTATTATGTATCTAATTTAGCAGTATTGTACCACTGTTGTTTTTTTGTTTTTCCACTGATTATAAATGCATCGGAGCCCTGATGGTGCAGTGGTTAAGAGCTCGGCTGCTAAACAGAAGGTCAGCAGTTTGAATCCACCAGCCGCTCCTTGGAAACCCTATGGGACAGTTCTACTCTGCCCTGTAGGGTCACTATCAGTTGGAATGGACTCAACGGGTTTGGTTTAGGGGTTATAAATGCATCAGTTTCTTGTATCTACCTTTCAATCAGCTTTGCCATCTTGTCTGTCTCATTAACAAGTTAAATAAATCTTTAACATGTGCTCACTATATATTTGTGTATTTTTTCTTTTTGAAAATTGTACTTTGATACCCTGAAGTGCAAATGTTTGCTATTATAAAATGGTTGAGTATATGTTTGTGTTTAATACGTATGTGCAGAAGGATTTATGGGTTTCAGACTTAAAAAAAATAAAAAGGAAAGTTCTTCTGGTTTTGAGAGGGAAAAGTCTTCACTCTCTATAATCCAAGCAGTACCACAGCAGGTCCTCCAGATATGGCTTCTATGGATCAGTCCCCTCAGAATGCCCCAGCTCTTCATTTTTGGAAAACTGCCACCAGGGCTGGGGTCTTGCTGCAAGTGGAGTTCTTTGAAAGAATCGATTGGCCACTTCCGCACTGACCCCATCACAATTTCATTGTTTATCTTCTTTCCAACTTGATTTTGCCAGAGCAAAGCTACACAAATAATTTGCTGTAGAAAATCATTGCTCTCTGCCTCTCACTCGATAAACATATTCCTCATTCAGACTTTTTATAGACTCTCCCCATGATATAAGGTTCGTAAGGTGACAACAGAATTGGAGAATTGCCATTCACAATTCTTATTTTCCTGATTCCCAGAAAATGGCTCAAGCCATTCTTCGTATCTTTGACTAATCAGCAACCCCAACAAGAGCAAACAGCAATGATCCCAGCACTTAAATAACATCAAGGTAGCAGCCTTGGGCGGGAAGGACATTCTGTCCATGGGAGTTAATGAGATGTGACAACACTTGGAGCAAGGAGACCTGAGTTCTATCCCTGCTTTGCCATCATCAACCAGGCAGTTCTGAGAAAATCATGTCAGTGCTTCATGTCCCATTTTTCCTCATCTGTAAGTGAGAAAAGCATTGTGGTACATCAACCATATGTCAAATGCTGTGCTAGCCACTGGGGATATAAATATGCATATGTTGTTAGGTGCCGTTGAATTGGATTTTGACTCATAGTGACCCTATGTACAACACAACGAAACACTGCCTGGTCCCAAGTCATTCTCACAATCATTGTTATGCTTGAGCCTATTGTTGCAGCCATTGTGTCAATCCATCACATCTTCCCTGTCCTCTTTTTCGCTGACCCTCTACTTTACCAAGCATGATGTCCTTCTCCAGGGACAGACCCCCCTGATAACACGTCTGAAGTATGTGAGACGTCATCTTGCCATCCTTGTTTCTAAGGAACATTTTGGTTGTACTTCTTCCAAGATAGATTTGTTCATGCTTTTGGCAGTTCATGGTATATTCAGTATTCCTCACCAACACCACAATCAAAGACATCAATTCTTCTTCGTCGTCCTTATTCATTGTCCAGCTTTCACATGCATATGAGGTGATTGAAAACACCATGGCTTGGGTCAGGCGCACCTTAGACTTTAAGGTGACATCTTTCCTTTTTAACACTTTAAAGAGGTCTTTTGCAGCAGATTTGCCCAAAGCAATGTGTCATTTGATTTCTTGACTGCTGCTTCCATGAGTGTTGATTGTGGATCCAAGTAAAATGAAATCCTTGACAACTTCAGTCTTTTCTCTGTTTATCATGATGTTGCTTACTGGTCCAGTTGTGATGATTTTTGCCTTTTTATACTGAGGTGTAATCCATACTGAAGGCTGTGGTCTTTGATCTTCATTAGTAAGTGCTTCAAGTCCTCTTCATTTTCAGCAAGCAAGGTTGTGTCATCTGCATAACGCAGGTTGTTAATGAGTCTTCCTCCAATCCTGATGTCCCATTCTTCATATAGTCCAGCTTCTCGAACTATTTGCTCAGCATACAGATTGAATAAGTGTGGTGAAAGGATACAGGCCTGACGCATACCTTTACTGACTTTAAACCACAAAGTATCCCTTTGTTCTGTCCGGACGACTGCCTCTTGATCTATGTACAAGTTCCTCATGAAAACAATTAAGTGTTC